CCGATAATAAGGTTTATCCTGTGCATGGCACAACTCATCCAAAGTGATGCTCAAAAACTCACACTGCTGAAGTTGCAAGTGCAGTTGCGATTCGATGTCACTGTTCAGGTCGGAGATTCTGCGTTCTATTGTGCGGTGTGAAAGCTATAGGCCAGAAATTTTCTTCTGTAGATTCTTGTTCTCTGGTGACAGGATTGAAATCACATCAGTGAGGCACATTTTTATAAGCTCTCCTTCAGAGTAGGGCTTTTTCACGTGGGCTATGTGCCAGGCCACATAAGAGGAGCCTAATGTTACAGTCTGTGATCGGTTGGCAAATCTGGTGAAGACCTGGGCTTCTACGTCTGTTTGGTTTTTCAAAGTTTTCATTTTTAAAGTGCAGAGTTCAGAACCTTGTGGGAATTCTTGATCCATATGTGCATGGCTCGAAGCGAAATGACGCTGCAGGTTTGAAGATTTGAACTGAGAGATACACGTCTGGCAAAGAAGACACATGGCCTTACCATGACGTTCAACAAAAAAATACTTATTCTCCCACTCCTGTTGGAAGCCTCAATTTTCATCTGTGTATTTTCTTTTCTGTTTGCATTTACGTTCCATTGTTAGATGGTGTAAGAAAATTTTTGATTAAAATTTTCCACACCAGCTAGTCACCGTATGTTTTATTCAAGGAGACACTGGTGCTGGCCAGGGGGTGCTGGACCCCTGGCACTGTCCCAGGCCCTGCCCCACTCCACCCTTTTCCCCAAGTGCCCACCCCCACCTCTGCCCCGCCTCTTCCCGCCCCCTCCCCGAGGGAGCCATGTCCTCGTTCCTCCCCCTCCCCCCCGCCGAGCCTCCTGCACATCGCAAAACAGCTGATTGTGGCGGGCAGGAGGCACAGGGAGGGAGGAGGAGGTGGTGCTGGGGGAGGGAGTGGGAGGCTGTGCACCACGTCCTCACTCCTCTCCCTCCCCCCAGAGCCTCCTCAATGCCAGGGCTAGGACTATAACAGGGTTTAAAAGAGAACTAGATAAATTTGTGGAGGTTAAGTCCATTAATGGCTATTAGCCAGGATGGGCAAGGAATGGTGTCCTAGCCTCTGTTTGTCAGAGGGTGGAGATGGATGGCAGGAGAGAGATCATTAGATTATTACGTGTTAGGTTCACTCCCTCTGGGGCACCTGGCATTGGCCACTGTCGGTTGACAGGATACTGGGCTGGCTGGACCTTTGGTCTGACCCAGTCTGGCTGTTCTTATGGTTTTAAAAGGGCCGGCTGACTCCACTATTGACAGTGTCTGTCATTTCTGTCAGACCCCTTTTTTCAAGAACAACAGCAGTTTGAGAGGGGTCAGTTCCTGGCCTTTATGTGAGTCCTTAGACTAGGGGGCCTTTCCTGATGGCATAATACAGTTGCCTTTGCTGCCTTTGATCACACTTAGTCCCATTGTTCAGGAAATGGGGGAGTAGCATGAGTCCTGATCATATTACCCTAAAGCTGCTGCTTCCTGGAGCCTTTCATCCTCCTCCTATTTCATTAATATGCTTTCCCTTGAAAATAGTTGTAAAGTGGAATCGGATTGTAGAGCACTTTGAAATAGCTGCTGTCAGGGCAAAACTTCTAGGAAGAGCCTGTGAGAATACAACTCCTGCGCCACCACCCCATTCTCAGAAAGCTGGCAAGGGCAGGAGTTGAGCTCACAGTTCATGGTGAAGTGACATGAGGTAATGACGCACGCCTGGGTGGTGGAAGCGGAGTGGATTAAGATTTATTGGGGCCCTGGGCACAAAGAACATTAGAGCCCCCCCACCCCAGGGCATCGCCCCTGTTCTTACACTGCCCCCAAGGCCACGCCACCTGGCTGGAATCTGGGGCCATGGTAAGAGCTGCGCAGGGAGCCCTGGACCCTCCATCTGCCCAGGGAAGTGCTCCCTGGTGACCCTGGTGGGCAGGGACACTGACCAGAGGCTGCTCTTGGGCACCCTGGTCCCCTGCCCAGGGCAGGTGAAGGGCCATGGGCTCCCCACAGCTGCCCGGGCTCCCTGGGTGGCTTTTACCACAGCCTACGACAGTGGTCCTCAAACTGTGGGGTGCACACAGTGGGGGACACAGGAACATTTTGGGGGGGGTGCAGTAGGGCCTGGGTCAGCCATCATGGGGGTGGGGAGGCAGGACCACCCTGCCCTGCTCCGGCTTCACCCCAGCTGTACCTCCAGCCCCGCTCCCAGCAATGGCCCCGCTCCCAGCCCTCGACCATGACCCCCGTCTTCTGCTCCCAGCTCTGGCCCCGGCTCCCGGGGGGGCACTACTGAAAAAGTAACAATACATCCTGTTTTGGCCCCAGACATCCTAACTTTTTTGTCAAAACTGGGCATTTGTCCCATTTGCTTGTCAACTGATCACCAGTTGGCAAGAGCAAATGGTACAAATGCCCAATCTTGCCAAAAGGGGCTCAGGGTGGGCAGACACGCCTTGGGACTCAGCAAGGTGTGCAGGGACCTGCCTGTGGACAGAACTCTGAGGTTTTTCCAGGCCATGTGGTGGACAGCTTGTCTTTGGGACAAAGAAAGACAGACCACATGGCAAGAGACTATAAAAGGCTGCTGCAGCTCCTCCGTCTGGTCTTCAGTCCTGCTTCCTACCTCTGGAGGGACATTGCTACACTGAAGCTTTGATCCAAGGACTGAAAGACCCATCCCAGCTGTGGATGGACTCCAGAGACTTGATTTGAACCTGCAGTTTATTCTATCACTGCTGCAAGCCTGAACCAAGAACTTTGCCATCACTATATGTCATTGATTCTATTTAACCCATTCTAGCTCTCATCTCTATCCATTTCCTTTTATGAATAAACCTTTAGATTTTAGTTTCTAAAGGACTGGCAACAGCATGATTTGTGGGTAAGATCTGATTTGTATATTGACCTGGGTCTGGGGCTTGGTCCTTTGGGATAGAGAGAACCTTTTTCTTTTACTGGGGTATTGGTTTTCATAACCATTTGTCCCCATAACGAGGGGAACTGGTGGTGATATTGGGAAACTGGAGTGTCTAAGGGAATTGCTTGTGTGACTTGTGGTTAGCCAGTGGGGTAAAACCAAAGTCTTCTCTGTTTGGCTGGTTTGGTTTGCCTTGGTGTGCACAGAAACCCCAGCCTGGGGCTGTAACCGCCCTGCTTGAAGCAATTTGTCCTGAATTGGCACTCTCAGTTGGGTCCCGCCAGAACCAGCATTGTTACAGGGGCATCGCTCAGAGAGAGCTGGGTTACAGTTGAATTGACTTTAACTTTGCATGTCATGGTTTAAGTTTAGCCACTCTTCATATCCTGGAAGAGCAAGCAGCAGCACCGGGCAAACTTAATTGTGCATGAACAAACATTGCAGGGAGTAAAAATATACACTGCCACGTCCTATGTGCCTAGTCAGTCTGCAGCAGAGCCAGGGCCAGCTAGTTTTCTTTTTTTAATCCGTACTCTAATTATGATACTTTAACTATTCTAATGTGGGAGAAAACTCCCCTCAGCAATGTGTCAGGCGTTTCCTGGACACACTTGGTCACATGCCTCTCCTCTGAACTCTGAGACAGCACCCAGAGCCTGAGGAGCTGGGAGACTGACCTGCCTGCTAGCTCAGAAGGACTCTGCTACGCACAGACACAGGGCCCTGCGACAGCAGCCCAGCTGAGCCAGAGTTGAGCACTCTGCAATGTGGCTGGGTGCAGCTTGCACCAGTCTAACCATTAACAAGAATATCAAACCCTGGAGCTTGCACGAGATGGACAAGAGCCTTGTAACGGCATGGGCCTAGTAACCGACAGCCCCGCTCCTCCCTTCCCAGGGCTCCAGCACAGGGCCCAGTCTGAACACCGCCTCTCTCAGCAGGGTGGAGTGAGTGTGGTGCAGGGGCAGGAGAAGGAGACACATTCAGTAAACAAACGTTTTAATTTCAGATCCCAGAGGCTGGAGTGTGAGCGCAGCACCGAGCCTGCGCCTGATTGTTGCAGCATCCCTGGCTCCCTAAGGCAGCTCTGGGGAAAGCAAGGAGTGTAGGCCATCCAGGGGGCGGGAAAGGAGAAGATCTTAGATGTTGGTTACAGTTGCGGAGACACCCACAGGGAAATGCGGAGCCTCTGCAATTCCTGAGGGCTCCAGCAGGAGGTGCAGGCACTCAGTGTCTTAGGATTTGGCCCTGTGATGTTTCATATGTTTCATTGGGCTCCTTCAATGTCCACTAGGAGTGCAAATTAATACACCTGCTCGAGACCCCTGCAAGTCCAGCCAGGGAGATTCTCAGCTGTCCATCCCTTAGCCTGGCCCACTCACAGTGAATCCCTGTAGAGGCCAGGCATGTCTCCTTCAGCTCCCGCCAGGAGGCACATTCAGGACGTAGAGCACAGAGGTGAAGGAGAGGAAGAGGAAGCAGCAGAAGCTGGATGCAAAGCCCAGCCAGTCCACGATGCTCCCCACAAAGCTGCTGAATGCCAGCTTGCCCAGCACTTCCAGGGTGGCCAGGAAACTGTAATGAGTGGCCTGCAAAGGGCAGACACGCACCAGCATGAGGGGTGGCAAACACAAAGAGAGCCACTTATGCTGTCAAACAGAGGGACCCAGGTAGCCCAGATAGCGCCTAAACCCTGCCCAGCCGAGGGCTGCACGAAAGGGCCAGGAGCCCCAGAAAGCACCTGACTGTCATTCCCTTCAGCAGCTTGGAGCCAAGCCTCATCTCCAAGGCTGCAGGGTGGCCTGTGACCTTGGGCAACTCAACTCCCTTTTCTGTGCCTGAGTTCCCCATCTGCCCAGTGCAGATAATGCTTCCCTCGGGGTGCATTCACGTCTGGGAGGGCCATACAGAGACTCAGATCTCAGGGCTCTTCACTAATACTGATGAGTGAACCGTCTCAGCTGCCTGCTGACACTGGTGGATCCTACATTAACATCCCCAGTGTGCAGACAGGGAGGCAGATGTGCCCATTGATTCTAGTCCCCCTTGGGCCACATTTCCAGAGGTGCTGGTTGCAGGGTACCTGTATGCTGCCATCCGCCCTCTGCGTGCACTGCATCATGATGCTGAAAGCCAGGGTGGTGATCAGCCCTCCAATGAAGTGCTGGACACAGATACTCAGGATCGCAGCCCCTATGCATACAGCAGGACATGGCAACGGGGGAGTAATGCGGGTGACCAGTTCAGGGTTGGAGAGAGGCATGGCACAAGTGCAGGACTGGGAGCAGCGTCTCCAGATTTCTGCTCCCAGTTCTGACGCTGATACTCTCTGTGGCCATGTACAAGTCACTGGACCTCTCAGAAAGAGCTGGGCAGAAAACGGGGTCCCCCCCCCGCGCATGAAAACTTCTGTGAAAAAACTAAATTGTTTTCATCTAAATTTCATAGAAAAGTTCAATTTTCTGGTGAAATATTTTAGTCCCAAAGTAAAATATTTCCATTTGGAAATGCTAACAAAATGCCACCTGGGAGGTGGAGTTTGGATGCCTCAGACTCCCATTCTCCTCTATAGGCTGGGCTTCCATATTGAACTACATTTCCCAAGATGCTCCATGGTCTTCCCTCTTGGAGGGAGAACAGGGTGCCTCATGAGTGTCCCTGGACGTGCTGCATCATGGAGGATATAGTTCAGCCTTAAAGCCCGGCAGCAGATCCAAACTGAAATGTTCTGGTGGGTTTGGTTTGACTAAATCAAAATTTTCCATGGAAAGCAAAAACCCGTTGCCCAAAATATTGTATAGTTGAAAACCCAGTTTTCCATCAAAACACAGTTCTGAGGGAAAATTTCTGACCAGCCCTACACTGCCTCTCGGTTCTCTTTCCCTTCACCCCATATCAACAAGGAGCTCTCTTATGCTCAGCTGGGTGGTGCTCACCTTTGAAGAGAGAGACTCCATCATCGTAGATGAAGACCAAAAAGGTCTGTAAGTTCAGGCTGCAGAAGCGGAGCAGTAAGAGAGCCTTCAGCAGAGACAGTGGCTGCCTGGAAAGACGACACAAACCCAACACAGAGATGGTTAAGGAAGCCAGTGCAGCAGAACACTGCAGGCAGAAGAAGAGCAAGCAGAACAGAAGGGGAGGGATTGTGTTTGGTCCCTCCCCATTTGATTGAGCAGAAGGATCATGAATCAGACACAGCAGCTGGGCCCAAGAGCAATCAAAACAGCACCAGACATCTCACTGATCTCTCCTGCCACACATGCCTCTCCCAACCCACGTACAAACCAGCCTTTTTCACCCCATACAAGAAGGGAGGTGGCAGAGCCCCATTCTACACTTAACCTCTGCTTGGACATCAGCTGGCCACCCAGTGAGGAACCTGTGATGGAGAAGACCATGGCTACCACTCCATTCCAGAAGCCAAGTTGCTGGGTGGAGAATCCATGGTCCAGCAGGAAGAGTGGGAACATGGTGGTGGTGCCTTGCTCACCTGCAAGGGAAAAGGACACAATCAGGTGAACCACAGCCAAGTCTATGCTCTATCAGACTCTTCCCTGCATGCAGGGGTGTCCAACAGCACAACAGGGAGTTTTAATGGCTCTGCTCGATCCCTAACCCAGCCCTGGCGGGTGACCCTGTCTAGATTTACAGCTGTTACATCCAATAGCTCCTTTCCACCTGCAGCCCTGCTGAGTGCTCCACTCTAAACGCTCCTTTCCTTAGAGGAATCCCAGCCCTCACCGGGCAGGCACTCACCAAGCTTGTAGAGAAGGACAAAGCCGGTGGTCCAAAGGGTGCCCGGCACACGGAGGAGCTCCTGGAGAATTCTCCAAGGGTTGAAGGTTCTTGTCCGGGGCTGGCCATCCTGGGAAGGCCGTCCTAGCGTGAGCTGCAGTTCCGGAGCACTCCACACATACAGTATGGCCAGAAGATAAATGATGGCCAGAAGCAAGAAGAGAACCCCCCAGCCCAATAGGTGCATCAAGGTCAGGAGGCCTCCTCCTGCCAGCATGGAGCCCAGTTTGTAAGCCACCACTTGGATGGTGTTGCCGTACCCTATCTCGTCCTGCCACAGGAGCCCAATGGCTACTCCGTCCACTGCGATGTCCTGGACAGAAGCAAAGAAGTTCATGAGCAGCAGCATGGCAGCGACGGGCAGGAAGTTGGTCTCTGGCGACATAGTGGCACATGCTAGGCAGGCCAGCACTAGTCCTGACATGCTGAGCACCAGCCAGGTCTGCTTGGTGCGGTACTGATCCACTAAAGGAGCCCACAGCATCTTGAGGATCCAGGGCAGGTAGAGCATTTTGGCCAAGCTGATCTTGCTGAAGGAGAGGCCCACACTGCGGAGATAGATGGGCAGCAGGCCGGACTGTAGCCCATATGGCATCCCTTGGACGAAGTACAGGCCTCCCAACAGCACATACTTAGAGTTCATCCTTCAGCCCCAGGCCGAGGGCTCACACAGGAGAAGATCTGGGGGAGATCCGCTGAGCTGTGGGGAACACAAACAGACAGACATTACATTGGGCTCAGCAAGGGGAGAGGCCCAGCACAGCAGGGGTTAAGGCATGGGCCTCGGCCTCAGCTTGGGAATTCAGGGTGTATGTACGAGGAGTAGGAGAGGGGGCACCAGCTTGGCTGCACTGGGCCAGGCCCTGGCGTCACCTGATGCCATGGTAACAGAGAGACCATGTAGCCACTGCTGTCAAACTGACAGCCACACCCCAGCGCTGCCATGGCAACACCCCCAATGATACAGCTAGGGCCTGATGCCATGGTGACAGCCACACCCCAGCGCTGCCATGGCAACACCCCCAATGATACAGCTAGGGCCTGATGCCACGGTGACAGCCACACCCCAGCGCTGCCATGGCAACACCCCCAATGATACAGCTAGGGCCTGATGCCACGGTGACAGCCACACCCCAGCGCTGCCATGGCAACACCCCCAATGATACAGCTAGGGCCTGATGCCACGGTGACAGCCACACCCCAGCGCTGCCATGGCAACACCCCCAATGATACAGCTAGGGCCTGATACCACGGTGACAGCCACACCCCAGCGCTGCCATGGCAACACCCCCAATGATACAGCTAGGGCCTGATGCCACGGTGACAGCCACACCCCAGCGCTGCCATGGCAACACCCCCAATGATACAGCTAGGGCCTGATACCACGGTGACAGTCGCCACGATGACAGCGCCACTTACTGTGACCATACAGACAAGACGTCAGACCCCCCCCCAGCCCAGTGAACGCCCCCGCTGCCGCTCCGGGGCGGGGCTGCGAGGGGCTGGCGGCTCCTGGGGGGGGGGGGGTAGGGCCGTAGGGGGAAGAGAAACTCTGGGGTCTGCAGCAGCGCCTGGGTCCTCCACAGCCACGGAGAACGCGGAAGTGCCGGCTAGAGGGGCCGCCTTTCCCGCGGCGACCCAGCCACGCCCCCTGTCTGGCTGTGCCAGGCGGCTCGGAGGGTCCCGTCTGGGCTGCTGCTCGTTGGTATCGGGTGGCGGTGGGCCCTTCTAGCATGCCTCTCGCTCTTCTCTATGGCTGCGGAGGACCGACCGTGGCGTTGCCGTGCTGGGCCGGCTGCCTCTGACCCCGCCCCTCCCTGGATAGGCCCCTCCCTGGGGGCCGGGCCAGAGGCTGCCTGGCGGCGGGGCTGGGGGCCCCTGGCGCCAGCTCTGCTCCACTCCAGCTGGGCCCAGGCCACATCCCTGGCCCTGGGGGGGGGGGCACCCCCTGAACCCCCCCCTGCCACCCTCCTAGAGCAGCACCCCCACCCCTGCACTGCCCCACACAGGGCCCATGCCCCCTCCCCCCAGGAGCCCCGCTGCCCAGACTGCCCCCTCTCCTGGCTCCTGCACCCCCAGATCCCCTCCCCACACCCCAACCCCCAGCGTCGCACCCAAGAGCGCAGAGCTCATGGCCCCCCCGCCTGCGCCAGGTCCCACCTTCACCAGCGCCCCAGCCTGTAGCACGAACCAGCCACATTCCTCCCCCCAAGCCGGCACCAGCACCTGCTACGGCATGCCAGTGCACCCCCCCAGCCCCACCTCACCCCGGAGAGACACCGTCTAGTTACATAGTCCTTGACCTTTGCTAAAATGGGTAACGGTAGGGGGAGGGCAGCAGATAGGGACCAAAGGTGGTGCCCCACCCCGCTGCCCAGTACCCATCCCCCCCAGCCCTAAACACACAGCATGGGTGTATTTCGCATAGGCCTCGCCCCTGAATGGAGGTTACTTTCCATCACTGACCCTTCCCCTGCACCACTCTCCAGGCTGCTGCGATAAGCACATTCTGTGCCCTGCCAGTCAAACGCTGACTTGCCCATCTCTGACCCCAGCTGCCTCTGCAGCCTTTCCTGCAGCCGCTGCCTGTGCAGGTGTGGGGGGCCGGCGACGTCAGCTACAGGCTGCAGAGAAGTGGTGGAGGTGCCCCTTTGTTGAGGGGTGGAGGGTGTGTCAGCAGAGGAGCTAAGGGTTGAATGACCCCTGGTAAGGTCCCTCTCACCTCCAGAAGTGGGGGCCCTCCAGAGCAGGGCAGCGGCAGGTTGGCAGGGAAGCTTGCCCTCCCAACATCCAGCCTATGCCTGTTTGTAAGAGGCCTGCAGGCTTTCAGTTAGCCAACTTTCAATGGCATGAAAATCCAGTTACAGCCATTAGCATACGTTACGCATGTCCCTGTACAGAGTGCTCTTGATACAGAGCGCGGGGTCAGTTAGGAGATACAAAAGGTCCATTGGAGGGCCAGTTCTGAAATCAGTTCTACACACGTACTTTTAAGCTACCAGAGCAGCTGCAAACTTAGTGGATTTAAAATTTAAAAAAAAACAGAGAGGAGTGTTATAGATTCCAAGGCTAGAGGGGACCAAACAAGCATCTGACCTCCTGTATAACACAGGCCAGAAAACTGCCAGCTGGGAGTGCAGGACTGTGCTGGTACCTCATCTGGATTTGGGAGCTTCTCCCACGCACATACCCAAGCATCCCCTAACCTTTCCTCATACCAAGGTGCAAAGTAGCGTAACCCAGTCTGTCCCACTTGAAAACAATGGCTGGCTGTGGAGGTTGGCTTTTGGGTTTAGTTTATGCTGATAAAAACCAAAGGGGTGGGATATGCAAAGGCACCGAGCTTCTCAGTAGGTCAAGGACTAATCAGGGCTTCTCACTCTCCCAGGTGCCTTTGAAGAGATCACTCCACATGCCCAAATCCCCCACCCTGCAGTGCCCCACCGCCCCCAGCAGCTCCCAGGGAGACAGGCAGAGTCTTGCAACTCTGCTCACACAGCAGGAAGGGAAGGGCCAAGAGGTGAAGTCAGGCACTTTAAAAGACACTCTTTATTAGTGTGAATATAAAACCCAGATATGGTCCCAGATGGAAGAGGGGAAACAAAGATTTCAGATGGTCAGTGGAAATAGAACAGCACTGAAGACACTCCAAAGGCATTGGAACGTATAGTGAGCAACAGACAATTGTTAGCGAGGGGAAACACAACAACAGTCAAAGCTCGGATGTAAATACAGTTACTTTTTACACACACTATGGTACGTTGGGAGGGGCATTCTACCTCCTCTGCACCATCTAAATGTATGGAAAGCATCCCACCCATTCCTGAATGGGCCAAACGTTGCCACCTCCCAAGATGGTTATTGAATATCCAGTGGGAACTGAACGTGTCTATTCACAGCCCATGTCTGAGAAAAGTCCAGCTGTACCCAGTCTGCCCTCCCCCTGTACCGGGGGTGAGAGGCAGGGCTGGGGCAGGAAATGTGCTCAGATGTTGTACAATTTTGCAAAATGAGTAGAACACCATAGTGGAGTTAGCCCTGAAAAGTGAGAAGACAAGCCCCTGGCACACAGGGCTGGTGACTCGCCTCCCTAAGTCAGAGAGGTGCGTTTGCTTGGGGCAGGTCTAGGGGACTGAACCTTAAAAGGGACATTTATATACAGTCAACTGGATAATCGCCCAAAGCCTCTTCCTCCCAGCAAGCTTGGGAGCCACCCTCAGGCTCTGTTTTCTCGCCCAGCCTCCTTTGGGCACAGCCCACGGCGTATCCTCTCCACTTCTGAAAAGCAGGTACCTCGCCAGATGGGATCTGCAGAGGAGTCCCCAGTGTAAGTGGGAGCCCCAGTTCCCTGCACTGGGTTAACTGGGACTAGAATCACGACACAGCCATTAGATGAAGGTCCCTCATGGGAGCTCCTGGGATCTGCAGTGAGGTGAATGGAATACAGGAGCTACGGCACACAGAGCCATGGCATGCAGGGCTCCCCGGCTTTGCTCTGGTGGCTGTTGTGACGTTCCATTTCCCTGCGGGTCAGTGACTGACGTTCCTGCCCTCGCAGGCTCATTTGCATCGGATAATCTCCTCCGTGGCCAGGCGCATGATTTTATTGAAGTCAAAGTGGATGTATTTCCTCCAGAACCTGCGGTCTCGTCCATAGACCTGGGCAGGGTAACATGGGCTCCCTGTTCAGAGAGAGAAAAAGCCCCGGTCAGCTGCTGAGCCCATCACCCGCCTGTCATTCAGTGGCAGTGCCTAACTCGAGACAGAAGAGTGGTCAAAGCTTTCACACAAGCGACCTCGACATTAACAGCAGCTGAGCATATGTGGCTGGGCCTAGGCATTCAGAGGCCGGATTCCCTGCTCCATTACACCAGGGTCACCTTCTTGAGTTCCATGGAATTACCCCTGTGTCAAACAGGCCCACAGAGCTCTAGGAGACTGTAACCTTGTTCACACAATGACAACGTCCCTGGACAGGTCATCTAAGGGGACTGCACCCAGGTCATCTGCCTCTAAAAGCATGAGCCTCTATTGAGCTAAAAGGCCTGTGTCTGTTAGTTCAAAGGCAGTAGCAGATTCCTAAACCTATATGTGGTGTGGCTACTGGAGGCAGACAGAGCCAAGCTATCAACAGGGGGTCCTGTGCAGGAGGAGGGAGGTATGTCTACTATTTTTTATCATCATCATCATCATATGCCCCGCAGTTCACCTGTTTGATATTATCCTGCCAGGCAGCAAGGAGTTAAATCAGAGGAGGCTGTTAGGGGGGAACCAAGAGGAAACCAAACAATGGTGAAGGTAAGGTACAGTCCCACAGATCACTAAGGGTCCTCCAGCAAACAGCGGGGATGCAATTAATTGGGGAATACCCCTGGCCTGGCTCCAAGCAGGCTGGTAGAGTTTATTCTTCCCAGGCCTGAACTCAGGAGCAAAGGGATACTGAGCAGCTGGAGGATGCTGGGTCTAGAGAAGGAAGGGGAGTGGAGTGAGTTGCTGGGGCTGCCAGTGAGCGCTGACAGGGATGCAGCAAGCAGGCTGGCTCCCCACCCAGAGAAGGGGGGAACTTACCAAGCTGGCAAGGAAAGATGAAGATCAAGGTCAGGGGAAACATGCTCACAGGCCGTTCTTGTTCTTACCCTTCGCTCTGCATTTTCTGGCCCTTTGGAGTGCATTCATGAGACTATGCTTGGGACAAGCTGGTTTTGTCTCTCTAATCAGCTGCTGCCAAAGGCCCCTGAAGGAAAAGGGCTTGCAGGTGCCAAACAAGCTGGGCCACTTGAGTTAACATCAGTGGTGGCCAGGGTCCTGCAGCTCAGATGCTCCGTCAGAGAGATGCAAGACTGTGTGATTCCTCCCAGAAAGAGGGGAAGGTAGCATAACCTGTCCTCAAAGGGGCCAAAAAGCACAGCTTGCCCTGTAACCATGACAGGTACACACTCTCTGTGGCTGGGGAAGCCCACCCTGAGCATCAGAGGTCCCCTGCAGCTCAAATCCCGCATGGATTGCTAGAGTAGGGGTAACACTCCACTCCCTTGGACTGAGGGGTTGCATACCATTTCACAATAAAAGACAAGGACAGCAGCAGGAGCAGGTCCCAAAAGAAGCCTTCAGTTTCCAAGCCAGCCCCTTTCACCATGGCCATGGTTACAAACACATTTTAAGGAGGGTTAAGGTGAGATCTGTGCAGCGGTTACAGAGATCAGGCAGAAAATGCCTAGTATTATGGAAAGTCATATTACATAAGTAGCAAAAGGCAGATAGGATTCCAGTCTTGCGCTCGGCTTGCCTTACCAATGCCATGAAATATCCTGGCAATAGCTCTGCCAGAGAATTTCTCATCCTGGCGGATGGACAGGAAATTCCGGATGTCCGAGCGGATTTGCCCTTCCCACTCCCGCAGCTACAGAGAAAACATTTGAAATTCGTTAGGCTTTGGGGGGAAAATAAGCCAGGTTCCATCTTGGTCTCCGCAGAAGGTTCCTTCTCTCTACAGCCTCGTAGTGTTGGGAGAGACCATTTCTTGATCAGACAAATCCAAAAAACAGGGCTGATGAGCACTCACAACCCACTTCACACCAAGGGATAAAATTAACTGGGACCAAATCAGTGAGCTGTGGTCTCATCCTGTGCTTGGATTTAGGCCATGTCCACACGAGCAAGCTGACAGCGGCACCTCTGT